ACAAATTATCAAATTAATTGGTCACAATTAATTTTGCTGTCACAATTACATTTTTTTATGTCCTATGTTATTTATTGGTTACAATCGAACAAATAATTGATCATAAACACCATCGTCCCTTCCCATCTACCTACGACCACCACCAACCCTTACCATAGCCATCGTCGTCTCACTAGACTCTGCAAAACCACAACTACAGCAGCCATCACGCACCACATCAACGCAAAATCACCGGCACAATAACCACAACACCACAATTAAATATAATAAGGTCACAATTATACAATTGATGATCACATATACATAATTATAGGTCACAAAATATTTATTGCAACATATTATCAAATTAATTGGTCACAGATTGTGTCGAGGTCACAAATCAAAAATTTTATAAATCACGATTTATCTAATTGGTCACAAATCAAAAAATTTATTGGCCACAGTTAATCTTTCGATCACATATTTTCAAATTTGTTGGTCACGAATTTTTTTAGTCACAAATTATCGAATTTTAATATCACAGTTTAATAATTAGTCAAAAAGAACTAAATAGTTGGTCACATACGCCAAACACCCAACCCCCGATCCTGATCCCGATCTTGATCCACCACCAATACTTGGTCACAAATTACCATCATACAACCACCAACAACAAAAATGACGACCACCACTGCCGCCATCTACACCACACCACAACCACCAATAGCACATCCCTACCCCACGCCGTCCTACCCACAACCACCAATCGCCACCAACATTTTTGGCACTAGCACAAAACATTCACCACACAAACACCATCACCACCACCACACAAAAAATCGTCCAACTCCAACCCAATCGCCAGATCGACCACCACAAAATCACCACCAACACTATCACTGCCACAACATAAAACACCATTCAAACCCACCCAACGTTGCTTCTGCTTCGTCTTTTCATTACAGCAGCACCGTGACGGCGTCGACGTCTAACAGAGTAGGTGGATCTACTTTGCCTCTTCATTTTACCTCGCAACTTGTCGGAGTGGGTAGATCTACATTGCGATGGATCTATTTCACCTCTTCATTACAGCACCGCGGTGCTGCTTAGGAGTGGTAACGGTGATCTGGTGAAGAAGTGCTCCGACAAAGAGAAAGATGAGAGGGAGATGGAGAGAAGATGGAGAGCTAGAGTGAGAATAGATGATTAAGGTTTGGAATGGGTTTGAAATTTAATTTTATAATATTATTCCTAATATTGAATTTTATGTTTTTTTTGTATAGATAAACTTTATTTTCAATTTTTGAAATGGTAATTTATAAATTCTAGTTTCATGTAATTTCCACTAAAGGCTATAGGCTGTTATTAATCTAGGCCTATTATGTGGGCCTCTTTGAATGTAAAAAAATTAAGGATTCAGTACTCTTAATGGGTCCGCCCCTATACCTTGCCAACGAATTAAGCGATGATAGAAATAATTGTGTAAAAAGGCCATATCAGATCTTTCTTTAAACAAGCAGGATGAAAACCAAACAACATCAAGCATAAAAATGAAAAAAAGAAAAAAAATTATAAAAATAAGAGAAGAAATTAATTATAAAATTGACCAATGGTTCATCACAAAGAAATGATAGAATCTATAGTCAATTAAATACATAATTATGTATAAATCACATAGAAGATAACCATAGCGAATGAAAATAAAGACACCTATGGATTTTGGTTATTATTTCACGACAGTGAAGTTCACAGAGACAGACGAAAAAATGGAAACTAGACGGTGGAAGAGGGTAATATACAAAGGAGTTAGGCTGATGGTTGTGATAGATAAATGTACGTGAGTGGTGGTATTAAAGAAAATCCTCAATTTCTTTCTAACANTAATAAGAATTGAATTAAATCTCAAAACAATCTCATGAAAAACAGGAAATCTAGACCTTAAAATCATTTAACAATGTAAATTAGAATTACATGCGTAAAGGGACATTAAAATTATCGATACCAATCGAGTTCCTTCATGGTTTCACCAAATCCCTTAGTTACTCATTGTGTTTTTGAGCCAAAAACCAAACAAAATTATGCTTAGAGGAGAAGAATGGCGTTCTCCCTCGAATTAGGGCTTAAAATCGTGTGAAAATCTCATTTCTATAAGTGGTTGTATCAAATTAGAAAACCGAAGATTCGGGTATCAAAATGAACCATGTGTACGTATGGTTCTAATGGTGCGTACGCACAGTAGATTTCTTTAGGCCTTAGTAGTAGATTTTTGAAAATATTGCTTATGCAAGGCCTGCATATGCGTACGCATAGTATAAATTCTTCTTCGTCGGATAGCTTTCAGTATTTTGACATATCTTCCTCTCTCAATGTCCGATTGAGGTGATTCAAGTTGCGTTGAAAAGATAACCCAAAGAGCTACAACGTTTCTTCAAATGTCATCTTCCAATTCAATCATGTGTTATCTCAAAAATGTGTCCCAATGTGAGGCTAAAAATTGATGCATAACTTCTTCGATTGGGAATTGATGTGTGATCATACTTTGACGATATTTCATCTCTTTGACCACTTTTCTCATTCACTTGATCTCTAACACTTTCAAATCTTCATCATACGGTTAGCCACAAGTTTGGATTATTTGCACTTTAGTCCCCGAACTTTCATTTTCTTCCAGTTTGGTCATTTTCTGTTCTTTTCTTCTATCTTCCATCTTTTCTACCAAAATACAACCTGAATCAAAATATAAGTATAATGAGTATATTTTGATATCAAATAATCATATCAATTCAATAATTAAGAGAAAAAAATATTATATGTTACACTCTTATCACACCCCCTAACTTGCTTATTGTTAGTCCCTAACAATTTAATGCAGAACAAATCAAATGAGTGATTGATTCATATTACAAGTGAAATTATTAAGTTCTAATTTAACCACATGTCATGTCCCTTTCAAACTCAACAGCACAAGAAACTAACAATGTTATGATCATAGGAATATCAGAACAAATGCTGAATATGTGAGTGTGTGTGTCAAGCCTTAGCCATCTTATCGCCAACCCTAACACATATAACGTCAAGTATATCTCAAGCTAAAGGTTCAGCCCCATAACTTACGGGTACCAAAGTATTTAGTGTAGTGTTTCTCTCTATGGAGCTGAGAAATGGTATACATTCATAATTTTGAGGCTTAAATATTTATAAATAAGCAACAAACAAACATTGATGTTGTGATAGGCATACTTCCAAATGAGAATTCATCCATTTCTTAGCACAACCATATTTGGGATCAAAACAGTCAATGTAAAGGGTGGTAATGCAGTTTGAGTTAATCTATATGAAATGAGGGATATAATGATTCAAAAACTTCCAAGTATATAGCCGAGTGTCGCATCAAACCTTTCAATGGAACACATCAACATATTCTTCATTACTTTCAACCTCCAAAATTAATCAAATTTTTTTTCTTTTCTTTTTTTTCTTAATTTTTTTATTAACCTTCCCTTCTTCTTCTTTGAACTTTTGTCACTTCACTTGAGCACTTATTCAACTCTTGCCATCTCCTTGCTTTTTTCTTCACAATTAAACCTTCAATACCTACTACACACTAGACGTGAAAAGTTGGGCAAATACATGTATAGGTCTCACTCCAATGTGGAGAGATAGAGATAGCACAGGTGCATGGAGAAAAATGTTAAACATGTGGGTGTATTGACTCAAAGTGGTTACTAAGGGTTATAATCATGAAAGAAAATTGACTTGAAAGGTTAAAGTCAATCCTAAATTGACTGTCATCATTTTCTAAGTAATCAACCATCATACCACAAACGATGTAACATTATTCTCAAGAGAGTTTTCGGTTCACAAAATCAATGAATACCTATTGCCCTTTTAATGTATTGTAGCTATCAATCCTCACCAACTCTCACATGAAAACTTCAGCAAGAGACTCCTCTAGTTACATGTGTCAAACTACCATCTTACCACAAGACTTGTGTGCACAAAAGCAATTCATAAAGTGTCTCAACATCTAAACTCACATAACTAATATTAATTCCTATTGGCATATTTTGTCATTCAAGAACATGAACACGTAGAAAATAGAGACTTAACGAAAAATTTTAAACCAATTCAGTGAAACAAACCAACATTCTATGAAAATCATGCAATTCACAAGAAAATTTCAAATACACTCTCCCCCAACTAAACATTGTATTGTCCTTAATGCAAAATCATGTCTACCAAAAGAAGGGAAAGATGTCACCTGGATATTGTGGTGAATCAACAGAAGCTAGAATATGGTGGATTGAAAGTTCTCCATGGAAATGGGTGATGCAAGAAATAAAAATAAACTGAAATGCAGTGAAAAATGCATGTGATGAAAATAAACCTAAAAAAATACAAAAATAAGAAAAGAAACAGAAGGGAACGAACTCTCGTTGGGTTGCCTTCCAAGCAGCGCCTTTGTTTATTGTCGTTGACTCGACCCAATATTGCTTTCTTTAGCCCACATCTAGCTAGGACGTTGTCAATCTTCCTTGCATTACACCAAGCTCATTGGAGATAAGTAGCAGTGATGCTCCATAATCCTGCAAATCATCAAAAGCAGTACAAATATTAGCATATTTAGCATCATCATATCGTATCGAAATTTCAGAATTCGAAAGGAAAGAGTTTAAAGGGTCGAGGTCAATAATCGCAGGTGCTTCCTCCTGAACGAGTGCATCAATCATGAATGTTTGATAACACTCGTCATCCTCCTCAGGTTGCTTCATGATGTGAAAGATGTTGATGCCCATGGTCATGTTCCCAAATGACAGTTTCATTAGGCCGTTCCTGCAATTGATAAGAGCATTAGCTGTGACAAGAAAAGGTCTACCAAGAATTATGAGAATTTTGGAGTTAACATTCACATCAACTTTTAGGTTCAAAATCAAGAAGTCAACAGGGTAGTAAAATTTGTCAACTTGTACCAACATATCCTCAACTACTCTCCCAGGCCTAACAGTGGACCGTTTGGCTAATTATAAACTTACTGATATGGCTTTTATCTCTCCTAGCCCAAATGACAAGTAAATATCATACAACATGATGTTAACACTAGCCCCTAGATCAAGAAGGGCTTGTGAAATCACATGGTTCCCGATGACGCAAGAGACAGTAGGACAACTAGGGTCCTTATACTTTGGTGGGATCTTTTGCTCAATCATAGCACTCACATGATCAGTCAAGAAAGCAGTTTTCTTGAGATGATATTTCCTCTTCACAGTGCACAAGTCTTTTAGGATTTTAGCATATGTGAAGACCTGGGAGATCACATGTAGGAGAGGTAGATTGATTTTTACTTGTTTTAGATGCTCTAGGATTTCACTATGTTGGCCGACGGATTTTGAGATAGACTTGAGAGCTTGAGGAAGATGCATTCTAGATGGATTTTTCACTGCCTCCTTTTTAGGGGTACTCTCTTTTGAATTGCTATGGTCTTTTTCATCTTCCCTAGGTTTGTGGGTTGGTTCAATAACCTTACCGGACCGAGTGGTTATGGTATTCACTTCTTTCAAGTTGGTCTCCCATAATCCTGAAGTTTGTGCCACATGTTGCCCCCTAAGGTTTAATTGAGCATGCGCGTAGAATTTTCCTCGCTCTCCTACAGCTAAGGCATTAGTTAGTTTGGACATATGAGATTTTATTTCCTTATCTTCTTCAACAATTTAGGTGATCATAGTCTCAAACTTTTAGCTAGTCTTACTCTGTGCCTCTATAAATACATGTAGAGCGTCTTCTAAAGAGTTTCTAGAGGACGTGGGTTGATATGGAGGTATAGTGTGAGCTTTATTTGGTTGGCTTTTAGATTTCCAGCTGAGATTGGAGTGATTCCACCACCCCAAATTGTATGTTTCAGAAAAGAGAGAATAAGACTTTTGGTATGTGCTTAAGGCATTGTAGTGTTTCTCATAAAGTCCCCTCATCTTAGCATAAGTGACACACTTCTATGCTAGATGATCAGTGCTGCCACACACAAAACAAACCCCTAAAGGCTCAACACAGGAAATAGATTACATGAGTTTTGAATCCTTAACAAGTAGGGCTTCGAGTTCTCTAGTGAGGGATTCTACCTGGGCTCTAAGGTTGTCCTCCTCTCTAAGGTGGTAAATGTCTGTGCTAGTGGAATTTCCCTAGGGTCGTGACCTATTGGTACTATCAGAGGTACTAGGTCCAGTCTAGGTATGGGCCTTTTCAGCTAAGTCATCTAGGTAGTCAACGGCCTCATTTGGATCTTTTTGCAAAAATTCTCTATTACACATTATTTCAACAAACTGGTGTTCTCTAGGTGTTAATCCTTCGTAGAAATAACTCCCTACACACCAACTCTCATAACCATGGTGGGGACAAAGAAGCTAGTGGAATTTCCCTAGGGTCGTGACCTATTGGTACTATCAGAGGTACTAGGTCCAGTCTAGGTATGGGCCTTTTCAGCTAAGTCATCTAGGTAGTCAACGGCCTCATTTGGATCTTTTTGCAAAAATTCTCTATTACACATTATTTCAACAAACTGGTGTTCTCTAGGTGTTAATCCTTCGTAGAAATAACTCCCTACACACCAACTCTCATAACCATGGTGGGGACAAAGAGCTTGCAACTCTTTATATCTTTCCCAGGCTTGGTATAAAGTTTCACTATCCTTTTGAGCAAATGAAGAGATTTGCTTCTTAAGGGCAGTGATTTTATGACGGGGATAGTATTTGCCAAAGAAAGCTTAGGTTATTTTAGCCCAAGTCTCATTTGAACGTGGTCGTAATGAATACAGCCAGTTCTTTGCTCTTTCTTTAAGAGAAATGAGTAAAATTTAAGCATGACTGCATCTATTGTACCAAGTTGATTGTGGAAAGGGAAAGTTGCAACCACCTCTTCAAATTCCCTAATATGCACGTATGTGTTTTCATTTTCAAGACCATGAAAGATGGGAAGAAGTTGGATCATTCCCAATTTAAGGTTTATACGTGGCATATTAGGTACAAATATAATGCATGATGCTATAGATGTACGTGTGTGGTGAATATAATCATGCAAAGTCCTAGTTGGTGCCTCTTCGTGCTCACTATCAGTTATTGTGTGATGTGTTGAGGTGTTCGTGGCAATTGATGCAGCAGCAAAATAAGAATTATATTGAGATTCAAACACTGTAAAAGGTACTCCAGTAGAACTCCCTTGATCGCCTCAATCCTTGCTCAACAAACACAAAAAAGACAAGAAAATGTGTGAAGATAAAATAAAAATAACGCTAAAAAAATTAAATCAAATAAAAATGAAAAGAAAGGAACGATATCACCCTTTTTGGTCAATCCCTTGATTATTTGTACCGTCTCCCCGGCAATGGCGCCAAAGTTGGATTACGCCCAAAGTATAACGCGGTAGTGGTAATACAACTTTGGGGTGTCGTATCCACAAGGAGATGAGAAAATTACTCAAAAGATAAAAAGTTAGGGTTTTCTTCATGATTTGTGTAAAAATAATTTATCAATTTGAATGAATTATAAATACAACGTGTGAACTAATGAAGCGTCGGAATTCCCTCGATTGGTTCGAATCAATCAACGTCAATTACGCAATTGTGTACTCAATTAAAGATATTTGTCCTAATATCATTAAAACCCATTTTAATTCTATGGTAATTCTAAAATCCAGGTTTCCTACAACACATTCTCACTCTAATATATTGAAATCATATCCAAAAACAATTATATACATAGAGCATATAATGGTAAAGAATTACACCAATATGATTGCATGAAATTGAAATTCAACGAATAATTTAATTTCACAATAGACAAAACATGATTGAATCTATGAGAAACCTAATAAACGTTAAACCAATCTCACAATAATGTTTGGAATTAAAATTCAATAATTATTTTGATTAATTAATAGAAAAAGCTTGACTGAATCCATAACAAATCTAATAAGAATTGAATTAAATATCAAAACAATCTCATGAAAAATAGGAAATCTAGACCTTAAAATCATTTAACAATGAAAATTAGAATTACATGCGTAAAAGGACGTTAAAATCACCGGTACCAATCGAGTTCCTTCATGTTCTTGAGCCAAAAGCCAAAGAAAATTATGCTTAGAGGAGAAGAATTGCCTTCTCCTTCGAATTAGGGCTTAAAATCCTGTGAAAACCGCGTTTCTATAAGTGGTTGTATCAAATTAGGCTTGAATGAACCATGTGTACGCATGATTCTAATGGTGCATATGCAAGTAGACTTGTTTAGGCCTTAGGAGTGAATTTTTGGAAATCTCGCGTACCCAAGGCCTGTAGGCCTATGCGTACTCATAGTATAAATTCTTCTCCGTCGGACAACTTTCAGTATTTTGAACATATTTTCCTCTCCAGATGTCCGATTGAGGTGATTCAAGTTGCATTGAAAAGCTAACTCAAAGGAATACAATTTTTCTTCAAATGTAATCTTCAAATTCGATCGTGTGACATGTCAAAAGTGGGTCCCAATATGAGGCTAAAAATCGGTGCGTAACTTCTTCGACTCGGAATTGATGTGTGATCATACTTTGACGATATTTCATCCCTTTGACCTCTTTCCTCATCTTCTTGACCTCTAACACTTTCAAATCTTCATCATAAGGTTAGACACAAGTTTGGAGTATTTGTACTTTAGTCCCCGAACTTTCATTTTCTTCCACTTTGGTCCTTTTTCGCTCTTTTCTTTTATCTTCCATCTTTTCTACCAAAATGAAACTTTAATCAAAACATAAGTATAATGAGTACATTTTGGTATCAAATAATCACATAAACGTAATAATTAAGAGGGAGACATATTATATTTTACACTCTTATCAGGTGAATGCAGTGGTGGTACCGAGTGGGTACCAGTGGTGGGTTGGATTTCAACTTGAAGAAGTTGAAGAAGAGGTCAAATGAGCTCGAAAGCGAGTTTGGCTAGTCCGGACCGACGAGTTTGAATGGGTGTGGGAGTGAATCAGTGAGTTTTAGGCTAGGAAAATAGCACGGGTATGTTGAAGGAGGGTAGGTGGTGGCTAGGTGGTCGGTTTGGCTTAGTACTGTGGTTGATGTTGAGGTATTTTTGTTGGGTTTGTTAGTTTTTGGAGTGGTTGTGGTTTCCATGTTAGTGGTGGTGGTAGTGGTGTTGTTGTTGGCGGTGGTTGTGTTGGTGTTGTGGTTGGCAAGGTAGTGTTTGTGACCAAGTATTATGGTTGATCAGATCGGGTGTGTGGTGTATGTGACCAACTATTTGGTTCCCTATGACTGACTATTAAAGTGTGATATTAAAATTCGATAATTTGTGACTAAAAAAAATCTATGGCCATTAAACTTGAAAATATGTGATCGATAGATAAACTGTAACCTATAATTTTTTGGATTTGTGATAATGAAATAAATTGAAACCTATAAAATTTTTGGTTTATGACCTCGACATTATTTCGTGACCAATTAATTTGATAATTGTGATCAATAAATAAGTTTTGATAAATAACTTTGTACATGTGACCATTAATTGTATAAATGCGACCTTATTATATTTATTTAATAAAATAACTTCAATAAATAAACAAATACTTGATTTTTGCATTTTGAAACTTGACACTATACCCTTGTTTGAGCCACATTATTGGAATGAAAATGCATTTTTGAATAGTATATTGATAGAAAATGTGTGGTTAAAAAATAAGGAAAAAAAATTGTATTTGCGTGTAATAATATTCTATTGAAAAATGTATGGTTGAACTAATGTCAAATCACTATTAAAAAATATATTTTTTTGAAAAAAATGTAGCTCAACCATGGTCTAAAAATATTTTTTTAGTTAATATATTTTAATTTATAATTTAGTTTTGAACAAAATAGATTGGTTGTAAATAATTATTTTATAAAGGGTAAAATAAGAAAAGAACAAGAGAAACGGCCAAAACGTGTCAATTTGTTGGGTTGGAAGAACCACTCAAATGTACACTACACTGGTTTTAGCCTTTGGGCAATTTTTAAACCATCCAAAATCAATGCCCCAAAAAAAAAACTAACAAACAAGGATTTTATCAATCCCTCATAAACGGTGCCACTTAAAATCACTCAGAATCGGTCAAAATAAAACTCCCAAGCAGGCCCTAAGTTTTAACATTGAAAAAAGGCCCACATTGTAAAAAACCTTTCCCCTAATCCTCAAACCCTGCGAGCACGTAGGTACGATTCCAAATTTCAATCTCCGATTCACCTTATTTTGAAAGAGAAAGAAGAACATATTGAAGAAGCAAAATTTGGTGATCAATCTCTCTTTCTTCATCTTATTATTTATGTTTTGATAGTGTTTATATGCAAATAGCAAGATTTGATATGGTGGTTGGATTGTGAATGGATTCTGATTGTTGTAGCACTCCATACTGTAATTTAAGCTATTGGGTCCTTGTTTAATGTTTGTCATTAACTCATTATCTTTTTTATGCTGATGGTTTGAAAAAAGAATGATAGATCCTAGTCATTGGATGAATTTTGAATTCGTAGACCGTGTTATGGATTGGGCCATTCATTTTTATTTTATGTAATTGGGCTTGTATTATTAGTGGGTAGCCCAAGCCCTTTACTGTTAGGGTTGTATATATAGTTTGTTTGAAGAAGATGAGTAGATAGAATTGATTAATTGAACTGTGGCCTGGCTGCCCATCGTCTTCTCCTTCCCTCTCCCATTCTTCTTCTTCCTATCCCTGTTCTTCTCTCTGGCAAGCTTCTTCTCCTGCTAACTGTTTCTCTCTCTGGTAAGCTTCTTTTCTTCAGCTTTCTCTTTATCTCTCTGTCCTTAAACCTATTTTTTTTATTGTTTTCGTTCTTTCTTTACTGGTCCATCCCTTTTTCTGTTATGTTTGTTATTTTAGTTGTAATCCCCTACATTGTAATAGAACTTATCAATTAATGAAATGAAAATTAGTTGTCATTGTT